AACATTTCAGTTGCGTTGCTGTCTATGCAGGGTCAGACAGCTCTCAGATTCCATCAAAAATATCTTAATTTGTGTTCCGAAAATGAACAAAGGTCTTACGGATTTGAAACGACATGAGGGTGAGTAATTAATGACAGAATTTTCATTTTTGGGTGAACTAACCCTTTAAGTACATTTAACTACAAGTACATCTCTCTCTCTCTGTGCGCATGCGCGAGTGTGGCGAGAGCGTGATGTGAGGTGCATGGTTGAGAGCGTGGTGAGTGATACTTCTTCTTTCTAACTTTGTCTATCTTGCAGTGAATGGTTTCTCGATTTGTTTGGTTGTGGCAAATAAAGAGTTATTTAGGAGCGGTGTTTGAAGTGATTCCCCGGGTTTTGGCCAGTGCCTCTTTTTTTGAGGCATGGCGCATGAGCAGTTGACGAGGCGACATGGTATTAAAATACTGGTTGACGTGGAACATTCAGTTGAGGAATGTAGTTTGGCTGTGGGAATGGTAGTGGGACATAGCTGCATAAAGTCAGCAGCAAGGATGAGTAGTGCTGTGGTAATTTTTTTGGAAACAGTTGAGAAGGTTGATCTGATTGTTGAACGGGGGGTCGTTATTAGAGAAGAGTACTTTCAAGTTTTTCCACTTGTAAATTCTGCGAGGAAAGTTGTTCTTTCTAACGGGCCTCCGTTCATTAGCGATGAGATAATTGAGCGTGAATTACAAAGACATGGACAAATTGTCCTAGGTTGTAAGTCTCCTCTTCTGAAACATGTTGTTTCTTTTTGAAGACAACTTCATATGATTCTGAAAAATGATACGGAAGAACTGAACATTGCGTTGAAGTTTAGGATTGAAGGGTTTGATTATGTTATCTTCGCTACAACTGAAACGATGAAATGCTTTAGATGTGGAAAACAGGGACATTAAGCTCGTTCTTGTCCTGAGCAGACTGCTTCCTTGCAGAGTGATGTACAGGATAGAGTGCAAACAAGTAGCGCCAAAGATAAGAGGGCTGTTGTGTCGGCTAAATGGGCCAGAGTCGGAAAATGGAGCGCATCAAAGTAATGAGGAGTCGATAGTTGGAAATCTCAGAGAAAATGAGGAAATGGGAAGTGTGGAAAGGAAAAGTGAGGTCAAAGATAGTAACATTATAGAAGCCGAAATGTCACAAAGCAGGGAAGCAAATGAAAATACAGAAATAGAGTTATATGAGGAAAAGGAATAATAATGAATGAGGAGATTGACATGTTTAAAGTCCCAGTGGTAAAAAGAAAAGCTGGCAAGAGTGAAAAGGGTTCAAAGTCTAAAGCACTTAGAAAAAGTCAGGAAGTAGTAAAAGACAAAGAAGATACAGATAAAGCATCAGATAACTCTTCTGCTGATGATTTGTCTGTTTTTAGTCATGGAGAGGCAGAAGTTTTGGAATCAATGGGACATGAAGCAAGGAAAAAGAGTGGATATAGTTTAGAAAGAGTACAAAAATGTTTGAGTAGTACAAAAGGTAAAATAAATGTGGTAGTAACTGATTTTTTTCCTGATTGTGAGCTCTTCATTGATTCGGCTAAATTCTTGATGAAGCAAAGAGGTGAGGGATGTTTATCAAATCAGGATATACATCGTTTATAAAAGATTTACAAAAGTTGCGTGCAGAACAATTGTGTGATGTTGGAAAGTAAATGGAAGACAACTAGATGTTGCTCAGCTTGGCTGGTTTTAAGTTGGTGTTTTTTTTTCTAATTACTGATTTAAAAGTAACTACAATAAATTTAAATGGAGCAAGATATATAAGGAAAAGAAGCCAGTTCTTTCAAATGCTGCAAATTAAAAATGTTGATATAGCATTTGCATTTGCACAAGAGACACATAGTGATAATTTTAATGAAGTTGATTGGAAAAAAAGAATGGGATGGAACTGTAGTTCTAAGTCATAAAACTAATATAAGTGCTGGTGTTGGAATCTTTTTTGCAAGGAATCTCCTTCCGATATGTTACGAAGTAGAAGAGGTTGTGAAAGGAAGGCTTTTAAAGGTTATTGCAAAATATGACAAAAATTCATTTACTTTAATAAATGTTTATGCTCCTGTATTGGCAGCTGAAAGAATGGAATTTTTACAGATCTTAACTAATGTACTACAAGATTGTGATCCTGAACATTATCTCATTCTGGCAGGGGATTTTAATTGCACGGTGAATGAAATCGACAGAAATCATTTAGAACCCCAAACAGCTTCGAGAGATTTACCGCAAGTAGAGGAAACAGCTAAAACGAAGTTAGTGGCACAATTAACTGAGAATGAGTTATATGAAGCTTTGCAAAGTATGGACAATAGAAGAGCTCCAGGAATTGGTGGCCTCACAGTAGGGTTCTATAAAGCTTATTGGGGTATCTTAAGCAGTGATTTTTTGGAGGTTGTTTGTGATAGCATATCAAGGGAGAAACTACATTTAAGTTGTAGGCGTGCAGTGTTAACTTTGTTACCAAAGAAGGGTGACTTGAAGGAAATTAAGAATTGGAGACCAGTATCCCTTTTGTGTTTTGATTTAAAAATATTGTCAAAAGCCTTGGCTAATTGTTTAAAGAAAGTGATGGGGCAAATAATACATAATGATCAGTCGTATTGTGTGCCTGAAAGATCGATAATTGATAACATCGCTGTAATCAGAGATGATTTTGAAGTGGTAAAATTGATAGGTCAAAATGTTGGTCTCATTTCGTTGGACCAGGAGAAAGCCTTCGATCTAGTAGAGCATAAGTACTTATGGAAAGTTTTTATGAGTTTTGGTTTTCCCTATGAATTTATTAATTTAATTAAGATGCTATATAGTGACATCGAAAGTATTGTAAAGGTCAATGGTGGTTTAAGTGCTCCTTTTGAAGCTAATAAGGATAAGAAAGGGGTGTTCACTATCAGGGATGTTATATTCTATAGCAATTGAGCCATTTTTACTCAAATTGAAAATGGTTTTAACGGGTGTTACACTGTATGGTGAACATAAATTATATGTTTACATATGCAGATGATGTAATGATAGCTGTTACTGGAAAAGACGATGTAGAAGGAATGAAAATGGTTGTGGAGAAGTATGGAAAATTATCATCAGCTAAAGTAAATTGGAGTAAATGTGCTGCTTTAGAAATAGGTGGGTGGAAGGAGGGG